CTTCTATAAGCCATAACTCCTCTACCGCTAATCCGTTTGGGATGATTCAAAGACCTATAGAGAGCTAACAGCCTCCTCTGTCTCATCTAGGTACAATCTCATGTCAATTATCACTTCCCAGTGAATAATTGGAGTAAACCGGCTACCCCCTAGTAGTTTACACAACACTATCTACAATTCAGGATAATTCAGGAGATTTTTTAGGCTTTGGGCATTATAATGCAAGTAATACTTCTGAATCGAATCATTCCCAATGAGACACCCTAAACAAAACATTCGTGCCACCTGGCACAAGATCAGGGAGCTCTAAGAACTTGGGTGACCACCAACATGAAATACATAAAAAAGTATGGGAACAAAAAAAGCCTAAAAAAGGGCTTGGCAAATGAAAACTTTGCTGCCCATACAGAATTGTACAAAGCATTTATTAATAGCATGTATCCTTGAATGATGGCATGCATCCTTATATCGAATCCCACCAGAAAACTGTCTTTTTAAAAAAAGTGCCGGAAGTTCTGCAATTTCTCGTAACGCAATGCCATTTTGTGGAGATGACGATTAATCTGGTGTAAATCAACACAAAACTAGTATTTCATAACCCCGTTCTCCCACACTTTCTCAATGAGAAATGTGCGGGAAATTCCAGAAGTGCCACTGGGATTTACCTTAATGATCGCCCCCATACTCAAATAGTCCTCTCAGAGGGCCTCCAATCCCGCTCGCTCCTCCGCTGAATGGATCGGGTATTCGCCAAGGTCGAATGGCGAAGGAGGGCTCTGTGGCGCCCATGGCAGCGGTACATCCCAATGGACTCAGCAGAGGATGTGCGATGGCGCTTCAATCCTCCACCATGCTGACAGCCACCCATGAGTGTGGTTACAGAGGAGTTCCCTGCATCCAGAGCTGGACATGCCACTTGAGGTTGCCCCCACCACTCCCTTTTTCCCTAGCTGGCCACTCAAAATGGGGGTTGGAATTGCTGCCCCCTGATTTCCCCGCGCAGCTAGCCATGGCTGCCTTGGCCACAAGCTTGACCTCTTGCATCAGAAGCTACTTGTGGATGGCACCAAACGTCCCATTGATCATCTCCGTGGTGAATTCGCCCTCGGGCTTGCTGAGGCGGATCTGGGCTTGCAACGCCCACCAGGATCCTTCAAGGCTAGTGCCACGATGCTTGGCGTGCACTTGGTGAACTCACAACTGATCGACTTATTGCTCAATGATGGTAATCAAGGTGTAGACGTATGGTAGAAGATCACGGATCAAAGGAGGTAGGGTTGGATGGGCAACCAGATCCACGAAGGCCACCGTGTAGCTGAATTGCCATGCGACCCAATGAGCCCAACTCGCGTACTCTTGGAAATCGCCAGAGTTTGGCCTAAGGGCGATAGTGATGGTCTAGCCTTGGCCCATCTCGGGGACATCAAACTAGGCCGGGAATCCCATGAAATTAGGCTTGGCCGCATGGTTGTTGACTGACCGGAGGAGTTAGTGGGGATCGGAGACCCACGTGAGCTCTATCTGTCGGCCAGGAAGGCGTTGGTTGAAACAAAGCGCCTAGGCCAGCAACCACTGCTTAGCAGAGTTGGAGTTCATATAGGAAGGACTCAGCACCGAGGCCGGAGGGTTTGTGGTTCTGGGTTGTGCCAAACCTTTGGCGCGGAGCGAAACAAGATAGAGGGCCGCTAAGGGTCACACCCAAATAAGCCGTTCCCACTTGCCACCAAACCTGCCGCCAAACACAAGGGCCAGATTGAGTAGTCCCCCTGTCTACGCCCAGGTTACAAGGGTCACCCGGTTGGCCCTTGAATCTGGCTGCCAGAACTGAACCCAGGTACAAGAGTGACAGAAAGGCCCTGAAACGGTCCGGAAAGGCCGCCCGTCCCCAATTGGCCGGCCGGTGCGTGCCCACCCAATGTCGTCCTTGGCAGAAACTCATTAACAAGTTAGTCAATTATATTTTCACGTTCTGCTGATCTGCATAGGTGGTTGGGAACGGGGGGGAACAACATAGTACCCACACTAATCCGCTCCTTGCACAGATTTGTAGTGGGCAGGGACGCACATGGCACACAGTTGGAATCTTTTTTGCTGCCCTTAATGGCCCCAACAACGAGGGTTGTCGATGTGCCCTATGACGGGACACAACGAGGACCGTAAGAGTGTCCAACAATCGTGCCCATACAAAGGGCCAGCCCTGGCGAGAAAGGGTGCCAAGCATGGGGTTCGAGTCAATGTCGAGCATACCACTAGAACAAATCGCTGTAAAAATTAATTACAAAACATGTGGCCGCCTGCAGCTGGTAGGACAACGGTTGAACAACAGCGAACAAAGAACTAGTGCATTGGGTTCCAAGGACAGGTCCAGGAATGGCCGTTGTAGGATGGCCAACGTACACATTGTTGCAATCCCCTGAGTTGCCGTTCCCTTCCAGGTACTGAGGCTTTGGACAAACTCCAGGCACAGATTGACAATACCGCCCTTGCACCTTTTAGGCAAATGCCAGCGTGCTTCGATCAACACTACACGGTCGAGAGCGTCAGCTCACTACAGCACATTCGCATGTGTTGGCAGTCCAAAGTCCATGCACGCGCACATGCAAAATGTGCATCCATCAGCCACACGCACAATATATATGCACATGAGACATTTGCAGAGTGCATTGTTCAGAGTGCACTATGCAGTCACATACATGCAATTTACAGTCTAACCGCCCTCACAATATTCCCCACTCCACACGCCACCCAACACCTTTATCTGGCGAATCTTGCAACACGTGTCTAATTTGCGGCTGTCCGATGCTTGGTAATGGATACCCAAAAGAGGCCTTCGAGGCATTGCTGGAAAGATTTTTGCGAGGCATCCCAATGAGCTCACACAGTCTACTGGTGCAGATGGGTGACGAAGGTGCTCAACAAGAGCCGACCAAGTTTTGTGCGACAGCCCCATCAAAATTAAGTTGAACTGTCTAGAAGTCGTGAAAGCAATTATGCAACTTCGCAATCGACCTACATACACATTAACCACTACCCAGCAGCAGCAACAGCAAAATTATTACTGGATCTTTGCATATCCAATCAAAATGCACAGCGACAGGGGACAGGCCACCCACTCACAAACATGTCCAGCTAAGGGTGGTCCAATGCAGTGCAGCATATGCCACAGTATAATCTACACCTACCGCACACTAATTACAAAACTGGCTATCACAGCAAGAGGCGGCCCTCAAAGCTCGTCAAGGCCACAGAGAAAGCCTGGAGACCAGTGATGATCTCGGGATTGTAATCCATTATAAACGTGTCCGTGTCGACCTGTCAAATGCAACAGGTGGCCTTTGTCACCCCCTAGAGTGGAAGGATGCAGTCCCAGCAAACAATGTGCTCAAATTTTGACTGCATTATCAATACATAACAAACACTGCTTTACCTCGCACAAGGCGAGGTGCTATTCACCTCAAGAGTGCTTGTTGTGTTAATGACGAACAATGATGATATTGGTGTCATTCCTTATGTTGTCACAGAGACAGTCCAACACCCACACACTTGCCTGGAACAAGCTTAACTGGAACCTGATCCCCTTTGCGCACAGAGATTCCAAGGGATTTGCTGTGTGCAAAGTATTCCCCCATGGCAAGGAAACACCTGGGCAGCAGTTGTATGGCAGGGACCACTTGAGCATATGGGCATTTGCTACAAACGGGACAGCACAGAAGAATTCGGGGACACACGCCAACTTCCAACTCAAACCTTAAAAGACTGGACACAGAGGGCAACAAGCCAGGGTATTCTGGGTATCCTCCTTTCTGACCATGTTCAGTGGCAATCCACCAGAAACATACACCCGTGTGGGTGTCCTCCTGGATTCTTCCTGGATTCTAAAAGAGTACATTGGCTGAACACGTGCCAGTTTTCTTGCATGATTGCAAGTCATCATGTGTGCCATGCTTGTGCTGCGTTGGTATTTCAATGTTCCAGTCATTGACTGATTAAACAGCTGAAATCATGCCACTGGTGTCCACGTAGAAGTGCACAAACTCCAATGACAAGGTGCACTACAGCGGATCAGAACAAACTGCCAAAAGAACCATACCCGTTCCTGAACATGGTGACACCCTGGTAGCACATCCATGTGGGCATGATTAGCAATTGTGGAACTAATGCATAATCAGTGCATACGACAGTGGCACAATCCTTCACCACAACAAGCCAGCTCAATCGAACTGATGAGACACAACACAGAAACGGACACATGCAGAATCCGCAAAGGCCAACACACCTTTCCAAACTGCATGACAATTCTCCCTGCAGTGTCGTTGCTGCACATAAGCTGGAAATTTTTGACAGATGCAAGCTTGACACGGCCCTTGAAATTTAGGCACCAGCAGCGCAAACCGTCGTTCCAGTGCGGCGGCTTATTCGTCAGCTTCAAAGCCCTCCACCTCTCTTCACAGTCCAGGTTGTCAAACACGCCAGCTGTGGCACCAACATCACCTTTAGATTCTGCTGTGCGTGCACTTGTCTCAGCAGTTCCCATGCACTGGGTACAAGGACACTGGCTACCATTTTCTCGGTTTCACGTTGGGAATTGGGAGCATTTTGTGGGAAGTAAACAGCTGCTGTGCTGATGACATGCCACCAGGACTGCTAGAGCTGCTGCTAGTGCTTGTATCATCATCGAAAACAAATTCAGTTGCAAGAATTCCACTGGCTGTTACGACGGGAGGCCTGAAACTCAGGCACTGCGTATACCACCACCTCAGCAACGGGAACATTGTGTGCAGTCTTTGCATGGTGCATTGGGCTGGATAAGCCATCCACAATCTCACGATTCTTGCTTGCTGGATATTCACAATAGCTATCAATGCAAGTACAAGATGCACTGGCTCCAAGAATAATCCCCAGACAGTGCCACAGCCCACACAGAATTTCAAGGTGTCAGTAGCAACCGCTGGCAAGATGAGCAGGCAAACTGGAACTTTCTCTCAAGCAGCACAAGTAACATAAGCATAGACATCTCCAAAACAGTCGCATATGCAGTGCTTCAGCCCGCCTTAGCAGATGAAATGCTCGGTATCTCCCAGTCTCACCTGGGTGTGACTGTCCCCTGCATCGACGCTCGCTCCGCAACAATGCATGCTCGCTCTCTGCATTCCCCTCCATCCCAAAGTGGACTCTGTGCTCAAAGGCCTGATCCAAATGTGACAAGGAGGTGCGCTTGAAGCGGTTGTGGTCCAGACTGAAGCGACACAACAGGCTTGCATGGGAGGGCAGGTGGGGGAGGATGGGATGGGGGATCAGGACGGTCAACCTGCACAGAAATGACAAGGCTGATTACAGGTTAACATCAGGAGTTTGAAAAGCACTAGCATGAACTGTACATCTGAAAATGGAGAGAATGAAAAATGGGGCGCACAGCGAATGGTGTTGGCGAGGTCTCTCTTCTTACACATATGTCAAACAGCTTAGAACGCGTGTGCAGCTCATATAGACAAACAGCTGAGTTTAGCGGACTTGTGGCAATGCAATGTGCTAAAATCGCCAGCTGTACAACACATGTTCCTGTGATTGTTGCACAATCATCCCGGGGCTGGGATCCCACTGCCATGCCATTATGCAAGGTCTGTACTCCCCAGGGCTTGGCTCACACAAAGTGACAACTGCGAATAGACAGAAAGCTGTATCACATGAACAAAAGGTATGACAACCTTCACAAGCACAAAACAACACATGCAGCCTTGAGCCTGCCTGCAACAACAACATTTGGCCAGAAGAACATTGAACACTGGCACAATATGGAAATACTGGCAGGTTATGCAGCTGCAGATGTGTGAGAGATGTGACTGGCAAACAGCGCAAAACTTGAAAGTTCTGGTCTTGGTATTCTGTACCTTCTGGGCCTCATCATCCCTTTCATCCTTAACTTGTAGGAGACACCCCCAAGGTTCTCTCCTTCAGGGAGGCTAATCCCTGCACTGGATGGAACACTTGGAAAGGACATGCCCCGACCTGCAAGGAGCCGATGGTGCGTCCCTATCTGCAGAGGCAGCCCAACGAGGACTTCCCATCATCAGTGTCACTTTGCCTTCATGGCAGTGAGAGAAGCAGGTGCCCATTTTCACTATAGGGCTCATAGGAGATTTGAAAATGGGCACACAGTTTGATCACAAGTGTATGATGCACACACGCTGAGGTGCGGTCTTCCTGTTCCCTGCATGTGGGGGTGAGTAAAGTGTTGGGACAGGCACAACAAACATGCAATGCCTAGTATTATCTCCAAATCGAGAGACTGAATGGTGCTGAATATGCCGTCAATCTTGACGACTCAGGCCCATTCGCACTGACGGGTGTTTTGTATCCGATGCTGTGTGCATAGCACTTCTGAAACATGAAAAACAGTACCCTGCACTACTTTGACAATGTCAGGCATGTACAAGTGTAGAAGCTGGACTTCAAGCCCACAAGCATCGCCAAAGCTTGCACACAAGGGCCAACACCTTGGAAGAGCACAAAGCGCAATGCTCATGGCACCCTGAGGGGCGATCAAAATGGAAAGGAGCTGATCGATGCATCGCGGATGGAACCAGGGACGCTTGTGGACTGTGCTCTCCAGCACAGTAAAATTGAACAGCAGGATGGAATCGAATCAGGTGGATCAGGCCCATGGGCCAATACAGAAAACAGACACAAGGGTGGTAACTTGTCAGGTGAAGAAAAAACATGTCAAAACAGTCGTTGATGCAGCATGGATACTCCATATCAAAATATGGCAACCCACTGCAAACTGTACCAAGTAGGCAACACTGTCAAACCCACTGCAGCACACTGTAGGATCTGTCTTGCGCATGCCCACTCTACAATGCGCAATGTGTGGCTGTACCCAGTTGCGATAAGATGGTGGGAGAGTTGAGCTTTGCATCATGTTGGTTCTTTCTGTCAAGGATGCATCCATGCATTCACTCCTGCTGCTGCAATAGGGTTACCTCCATTCAAAGCCAAATTCAAGTAACTGCGTCGCGTACCAGGTTGGAGACCAGCCGCGCACATGGAGCACTCCAGTCTGCCCGGGAAGTGTACAGCAAGACTCGCTGCCTGCACACACAATGTCTGCACAACAAGTAAGACCAAAGGACCGCACAAATGCATGCTGCAACATTCAGGAGAATGCCTTTGCTGGAATGAGACAATGTGCTGCCTTTGTGCATTCCAAGCCCCTGACAGGTGTGATTCTATTCACCGCAATGTTCTAGACAGTTCTGCAGTGCCATGGGATCGATGTGCAGGACATAGTGCTTGAACATATTTAATAGAAGACTGCGTTCTAAAACCAAACTCACAGCATCGCTGCTGCACTTCAGATAAGTGTGGAGTCAACCTGAGAGAATGTCAGCATCATGGGCACCAAATCATGATGGGAACGTTGGAATCAGGCTCCAATCTGGCAGATTTTTTCTATCCATTGCACCATCCACACGTCGATACTCAACATGAACGCACCACGAGTGCTGCACGGCACTCAGCAGAAATTTAGCGCCCCTGGCCTGTGCATGGTCGCCAAGGTACAACAAGAAGCGGCAGTGGGGCCCGCCTGGCCCGCCAGAGATGTCTTCCCTCTTTATGTAGCACTTCACCAGGCCTCCCTCCACAGGCCGTGGGCTCTGCAGGGAGCAAACGGGCCAATCGTTAAACACGGCCCGCCGCGCTGGGGCCGCGACATTGGGTGCCGGCTTGTGGCTTGCTGAGGTTCGTGCTAGCCGCAGGGCACCCTTTGTTTTGCAACAATGTCACCTGTCCATTTGCCAGAATCCACAGTACCCTCCTGCAATCGCAAGCTTGACCCCGTTTTCCTGACAACGCGTCTAAACCACCTCCCAAACCCCAATGCTCACCATCAAGAACAACTGGGCCGGATGCATGATCGGGAATGCCTGGCTGGGCGGCCCGCGCCACAGGTCCTCGAACATCGTCTGGGTCCCCGCCGATCGCCACGAGCGGCAGGCACCACACAGGGCGAACACGGCCTGGCGAGACACACACAAGGGGTCCGTCAGCGGTCAGCATTCCCATGCTGCCCCTTTGGGAAACCCAATCGCCGCGCTCCCGATGAGGATAGGCCGAACATTTCCAGATACGCCATGGCGTGCAAAAGCGCGGCCAAACGCCACGAACCGGGTTCGAGACAGGAGCGGGGCGCATCGCATGGCAGTGGTGAGAGATCGCCAGGGAGGCGACGGATTCGCTGGCGCCCTCGGGCGCAGAAAACCCGCGCAGAGTCGTCACCTTGCGCCCGGGCCATCCCGGCTGGCTGGCCAGCACGTGGCGCAGGACCTGCTGCAGCAGGACCTCCGGCAGGGTGTCCCACGCGGACGCCGGCGCCCGGCGATCCCCGACCTCGTCATCGCGCGCTTCCCCCGGCCCAACGCACGGCCCCGCGCCCTGCTTTTTCCCCCGGCCGCGCTTGGATGCCGAGGACTTGATCCCCCCCGGGGACACCTTCCTGAGGATCGAGAACCGCCGGCGTCGCCCGCCGCTTGACCACGGCCCCTTCATGCGGACCGGGCAGAGGAAGGGGACTCGAGGCCTTCCACTTTGCCTGGGCCACACGAGATGACCGGCCGACGGATGGCACCGTCCTCCTGGGGCCTCGCAACTGGCGTCTGACGCACTCAGGCCGATGGGCTGGCGAGTCTACCGGAGTGATGGCCCCCAGGCGTGGGCGGGAGTCACGCGGGACAATGCGGGATCGGCATGGCCCGGCGGGGTGGCGCGCCGCGCGCCGTGGCCGCGATATGGGACCGCGCTGGGGATGGCCGGACGAATCGCCACGAGGCGCCTTGTGCCCAGCCCCGGATGGTGGTTCGCCTTTGAGGCGACGCCACCTGGACGGGGGGTGTCGCGGCGTTCGGTTTCGGGAACCGCGGGCGGCGGGGCTGCCTGATGGCTGCTGCGAGTGCCGCGACACTGCGGACCGAGACAGGGGTATGGATATGCACTCTGGGGGCCGGTTTGAGTACCACAGTGCGTCCATTTTGGTACTCTCATTGTCATATTCGCGCCTTGGTCCCCCTCCTGCAAAACATGCTGTCGAGGGGAGCTGGAATAAGCAACATTTATCTAATAATCGCCGCATTATGAAGAAGTCTCGAAGGAAGGCGAACACCCACCTCTCCATTAATAACCTCTCAACTACAATAGGAGGGTTGATGGCTGGGATGTTTGATGCGACGGTAGCCGATTGGGGCAACCCTGGAGGCTGCCATTTGAGACATTGGTATTTAAACGAGTCGTACCTTCCCCACCAATAAAAAGTGGACCACAGTGGCACAAGGACATCCGTTGAACATCCCTAAGAAATCACGAGACTAAAAGTGCCCCAGTTGTAGCTAAACTAATTGTTGGTCAGGATGATAACTGCCTGACCAACGCGCCCTGGAGATTTGTCTCATCAATTACAATTGCTCCAACATAAATCTCTTATGTGTGAGAGGTCCATATCGGTTGGGGTGCACAATGCCATGCTCGTTGTTTTGCGCAAGCTTGGTAGGGCACGTGTATGCTAGTGCTATATGACGTGTCATGATTTGGTCTTGAGGAAACACAATTGTGTGCCCCAAACACCCCCACAATCTTCCTTGATTAAAGGGGAGAGTGGGAGGTGCCGGCTTAAAGAGAACTGACAAGACTGAGTGGTGTCGGTCAAAACTGTTCTTGTCTACTAGAGCTGGTGGCTCGGCGAGGTGCACGGTGAGCCACGAGGAGATGCGAGCATTGTCTGGATACTATCCAGTGGATAGAGAGCAGGGTTTTAAGAGAGCCGTCCCAAAATGTTACGCGCGGCGGCCTGATGTGGGGGACGCCCTACTAATGGCCCTTGGTGTGGGGGACGCCCTGCCCAAGTTAACTAGTCCTCAACCCCTCGTAACCACTCTAGGTATTAGGATACAGAAGTAGGAGGGGTGGTCCCGCCTAGGTCCCCATAAGGACCTAGGTGCCCGGCGAGGCGGGTCCGCGGCTCAAAGAGGGCAGGAGCCCCACACCAACAACCTTTTCGTATCATTTGGTTTCGGAGCCACCTGAGGGTGGCCACCACGCTTTCGGCTGGGAGCACAAGGGAGCCGAAGCACCAGGGCTTCTTCCCCAGCCTCCTCGATGGAGGCTGAGGAAAAGGATTCCACAGCCCAACAGGGCACACCCGAAATGGGAGATTCACCCCGACAGGGGACCCCGGCAAGTTCGGCCGATGAGGGAACTACAACCCGAAATGGGCAAGAGCAGGAAGAAGTCCGAAAGGACATAGCCGGTACATCGGCGGGCCAGCAGGGTCAAGATGAGCCCGACCAACCGATGACCGAAGTGGAGGCGCCACACGAAGAAGAGGCGGCGGAGCCGGGAACCATGGCGGCCTTTCTTCAGACACCGGGCATGATGGCGCTCCTCAAGCAAATGGCAGCCGCGGCAGCTTCGAGAGCTCAGGAGGCGCGCAACAAAGAGATTGCCGACCGGATCGCCAAGCTAGAGATCGCGGCGGCCTCTGCTCAGAAGGAAGCCATGCGGCATGAAATTGCCTTGAAAAAAGCCAAAGAGGCAAGCCGCCAGGCAACGGAGGCGAAGGCATCGGCGGAACAGCAGGTTGCTGCATTGAGCGACCGGCTGTTGAAGCAGAAGACAAGGGCGAGAGAGGCAGAGGAGAAACTCGCCCAACCCGAGGAACAGGCCGAAAGGGCCCCCAGTCCGGCTGGACCACCGATGCCGAGTATTCTAGAAGCTGAGGGCGACTGGCAGACGGCTGGCGAGCCGCGGGCAAAAAGAAAGAGCCCATCGCCAGGTGAGATCGGACGACGAGAACAGACGGGTTCGAAAACAGGCCGAAAGGCTAAGACCTCAGATCCGATGAGGAAGATCGAAGGCCGAAAGGCCAGTACCCCAGGGCTGCGGGCTAGGTCACAGGTGCACATAAGGACACCTAGTGAACCGGAAATGAGCAGCGGCGAGTCGCTCACAGAAAGCGCTCGTGCTGTATGTGGACCAAGTCCAGACAAGCCGAAAGGTCACGATTGGAGTCTCCGGAGACCCGCATTACCAGAGTGGGGACCAGGAGAGAGTTGCAGAGTGTTGGAATTTATTCCAGATACTGAAGAACCGTACAGCCGGCAGCCCCCATGCAGAGCTAAGTGGACTAAGTTCCACAGTGATCGCATTGACAATCTAGATGCGGGCTGGCAGATGGCTGCTGAACGGTTTGGAGAAAGGTTAACCACCGTGAGGTTGATAAGGATTCAAAGGTGGTATGGTCCTGGAATGGCAGATCAGATTGCCAAAGAGGACCCGAATTGGCCGGAAAAGATGGCCTTTGCACTTAGGCATATCCCCGAGCCGTGGGACTTGAGTGAGGGAAGTCCGCAGAGGCCGGACCCCAATGATCCCCACGAACGGTGGGAAGAGATCTCCGAATTGTCGTTTTCTTCATGCGCTTCCCCGTTACCGGGCGACATGTCAATGCGGGCGCAAGTATATAGAAAAGAAAAAGAGAGACGACATGTTTGCAACCGAGATCGGTTTGCCCGTGCGAAGAAGTTGGATGAGCGAAAGGCTCAGAAATCTAGCCAACGCAGAGAGCTGAAAGCTATGCGGCGTGAGCGGGATAGACAATTGAATCCCGAGAAATATGAGCGCAAGCAAGCTCATAAACGCCAGCGCAAGGCTGAGATCAGGCGGTTTTTCTCCGCAGGAGGCAGCCAAAAGGCGTAGCGCCTTGAGGCTAAGCCAGTGGCGGAGGAACTGGACCCGGCCAGGCAAGCCCAAGCCTTTGCCGAGCTCGAAATGAGCAAGCCGCGGCAGGCGGCTAGATGGGTTGATGAGTCGAGTGGGAGCGACAGTGGTGTCACCCACCCCGCTCGATTCGTCATAACGCAGCCTGAAAAGGCATCGCCTCCGACTACTGAGGCAAGAGTACCGGAGAAGGCCAAGTCCCCGGTACAGGAGGCGCTGACTCCGAAGGAGAAGAAACAGCCTGAAAAGGCAAAGAAGCAGCCTAAAAAGGCAAGGGAGACATCCCAAGAAACTCAGAGACCAGTTCCAGGTAATACTGCGGAAGCAGTGCCTCATTTGATTCCTGTTGAGAATACACACTTGCGTACACATGCAGAAATTGGAGATTCTGCCGGTAATGACGAGATTGCGTATTTCGGATTAGCAGGCACACCTGCTGAACCCATCTCCCGCGAAAGGAGGGAGGATTATGTTGTTGTCCAAAGGCAGGAAACTGCTTTGGAGAAGGCCAGGGCCGAAGCCGTAAGGGCTGCCCGACTGCTTGATGCCATGGGCAAGGAGGAATACGCTGAGTTTGTCGAATTCCAGGCGGCTCGGCATAAAGGCCACCAGCCCACCCCACAGCCGAAAGGGCCTCTAGTTGGGGAGAGCAGTTATGGACTAGGACCCCACGGAATTGTTTACCGGCAGGGGAAGCCTGATCCTCAGTTCCAACAGCGCATGGCGCAGCAGCAGCAGCAGCTGAGAGAAGTGGGGTATACCCAACCCAGAGGGCCAGTTCCTGTGATGAAGGCACCTGTGATACAGGATGTCCATGGGTTCTGGGACACACTCAGGGCGTTCCACGACCCCCATGGTGGTGTGTACTACAAGGGGTACTACCATCCAAGTGGTCGACAGTAGAGGTGGCCACCTGGATCCGTTAATAGCGGACAGAGGTTAATTTCCGTTAAGTTTCCGTTAATTAACGGAAAATAACGAAAAAAGACAAAAATTAACCAAAAATTAGCGGATTTTTGGATTTTTTGGGGATTTTTGGGTTTTTTTCATACTTATAGTTTATGGAATTCGCTATTAGAGAGTATGTTTGTATTTTATTTCAACCTATGCATACTAGATTTTCAACTAGCCGCAGTTGTTGTGATTTTTGGGGTTTTTTTCGATTTTTTTGGATTTTTTCGTTTTTTCTGAATTTTTCTTCCTTTTTCTTTAACGAAATTTAACGGACGGCTGATAAAATTAACGAACCGGTTTAACCGGACCGGATGGCACCCTTGGTGGCCACCTCTGAGTCGGCGAGCCCGTGCGATGCGGCCGATGCGATTTGGGCGCTTTGCGGTAGCATCCCTTAAGTTATTAGGATACATTTGAAGCCTTGACAACGGTGGGTATCCCATGTGCCTGGAAGCAGGACGCGGCCACAGAGTGGCGGTTGTTGGCCGGGCCGGGCGGCGGGTTCGAGGGAACGTCTGAGATGCCTGTCCGGTGACCGGACAAGGTAGCCACTCAAAGATGCCATCGGTCGTTAAGTCCGGTTCGTTAATTTTTATCCAGCTGTCCGTTATATTCCATTAAAGAAAAGGAAAAATTCAGAAAAAACGAAAAAATCCAAAAAAGTTTGGGAGAAAAAAAACCCAAAAAATCGCTTAACAAAGTAGCGGCTAGTTGAAAATCTAGTATGCACAGGTTGAAATAAAATACAAACATACTCTCTAATAGCGAATTCCATAAACTATAAGTATGAATAAAACCCAAAAATCCCCAAGAAATCCAAAAATCCG